AGGTTCGTCGCCGATTAGCGGCCGCCGTAGTGCTCGAAATGAAGTATCTTTACAACAAACTGAAAATGGTTAGGCCGCCACATGAACATAGGGAAGAAGGCGTAGAGGCTTAGTTTTCCTTGCATGTGTCTTTGACTGCTTGTAGTTCAGCGCTGGAGCTGCCGTAGAGCTAAAGTATCATAATAACCTGGATTTCTTCTTTCATTATTAGTGGAGGTTGAAAAATCCGATTGTGCAAAACACGAAATCCTTTCGTTTATCTTTTTCTCAGTGTCTCTGTCACTCAGAGGTCATCACACCGCTTGACTGGTAATCAGTTTATTAAAAGATGCCATCTGCCCATTTCTAATTTTACCGACTGTTAGCTTTTTGCTTAGATCAGTGGTATGCGTAATAATCCCTAATCCGAGATTCTGGGAAGATCATATGTCTGACCAGTGCATTGTTTCTGATCGTCTGCTGAACAGTTACTAGGATGCTTTAGACGCAGGTTCTGATTTGCCATCGACGCTGAGGCGTTTACTTCGGTCGACCCTAAGGTCAGTGGGGTATTTTGGACTTAAGTGTACGGAGGTCGTGCGGGAAGCACTCTGAGGTGACAGGACGAGGTTCAATGAAACCTGCACAATGGAAAAGCGTTCGTCGCGTCACTTGAACTGAGGCAGACAATTGAAGGTCACGAAAGTTCGTTTTACTTTTCGTCCACAACATCCTGCCTATTCCGATGAAATGTACAGTTTGCACTTGACCGTCGCAGCGGCTTGGACTTCACTTGCAATGTAAGTTAATTTTTGCGCCATTCGCAAACGTGTCATGGCAGTGATCGACCGGCACTGTGTGACGACGTGCGCAAGAGATTCGATTCCATTTGCCCAGTGGCTTCCTTTCCCGTCCCGTCCTCCGTATCAGTGAACAAGATTAAGTGACGACACTGTCATGTGGCCACGGAGGCACTCGCTCATTTCCGCCACGTCCCTGCGACGCCTGGGCGCCCAGTAAGGTCGAAACCTTTGGACGGCCCTCATCGAAACTCACCGCCACCGCCTGCTCCCTGTGCCGCTCGACAGAAGGGATGTAACTTCGCGCACACCGGGGCACAACTGCTCCTCGTACCACAAGACTTTACGAGCGATCGTCAATCATCACTCGCCGCCGGAGCCAGCCCTCAACGTGGCCACATGTCCCCCCGCACAACTATTCTTTATCCTCTTGCGCCAGGTGTCAAAGCATTTGCTGCGATCAGTAAAAATTCATGCTGCCGTCACATTGTTCATTTATCATCATCACCGACTTCTTGGCGATGCTTATCATAGAAAAGGATTACCGTTGCTAACTTGGTGCTGGATTGTTTCCCACATGTGTTCTTGACATCGCCAAGGACCGAACAACCAACCATATGACATAGTCCTCGCGACGACGATGCTGCTAAAACTCTCCTCGTCTTGTTAATGCGCTAACCACTGAACGTTTATTGCGGCAATATCATAGCCGAGACATCGTTACTAACATACGGCGCCAATTTGTCCACTTTTCTCCGTACAACTGCAAAGAATGCCTGTAGTAATTTAAAAACGTTCTTCCTCAATCCTCACTTTCAGTTTCGGAGTACGTCGCTTCACATATTGTACTTTATTTAAATCAGGCTCTGGCTTTCTTCAAGTAGCTTATGTTTACAAGGTGCTATCGTAAGACATTGCACATACATGCCACTTGTGTAAGGAATCATGTGTTTAAAGTGATTTGCATCAAAATAATAACAGATAAATCGTGCTTCAAAGAGATAAGAAAAACTCGCATCCTATATTTTCACGAAATGCGAAGAAAACAAGGATATGCTCGCAATTCAGTTCGAATAATCTGAATAATCTTCTATGATCTCACCTCATCGCGTCTCAACCTTCCTTTAAATTAAGGCACCGAAAGACAGCTTGGCATGGTTCGGCTATCTGCGAGGATGAGACCAAGCTTCAGTGGCTCATGGGAATTCCGAACGGGCGACAAAGGACCGGTGGTCAGCCCATTATATGGCAAAGAAGGTAAGGTGGAGATTTGTAATGAGGAGGAATCTTTCCTTCGTCTATGAGGTGAATTGTAATGCCTCCTAGAATGAAAACACGAAGGGTAGAGATGTGGGAACATCAAGAACCTTCAGCAGCTTGCTGCTTTTCAAAATAGCCAAAGTTGACGACTTCAAAACAGCAACAGCACTATTCATTCCGCCAGAAGCATAACAGCAC